CCTCCTTATTCTTTTAGGTACAGATGTTTGGCCACATCTGTGAAGTCTTTATAATAAATTCAATCAAATATGATGCCTTCTTTATATTTTAACAGGGCTCTTTCCCAGCTATTAATGGATGTCTTTGGCTAGACTGGCTAAATGTCAGGAAGATTCCATTTGGGCCTTGTACTTGGGGGCCACATGCCTCACCCACTGTGCACCCCCAAAGACAGTGACCGAACCCATTTGCAGTCAAAGGTTCTTTTTTATCTCTTTGTTAAAGTCTTTTCCTTGCTAACTGTATGACCAAAGAAGTGAATGGCTGATAGCTTATGTAGCAAGGTTGATGAAATCACAGCTTCTCAGTAAAATACTAGTAAAGCAAATTAAATAAGCTATGAAAGAGTGTACCTCACAACCAAGTAGGATTCATTCTTGGCAGGTATGACAGGTTTATCAGGTATAAATCAGTAAAGATGATAGATCATAGTAGGGAATGGAAAATAAATCACATGATTATCTCCGTTAACACAGAAAAGCATTTTTCAATGTTCAACTTGCAGTGAATTAAGAAAAACTAGTAGTATCAATGAAAAAATTTGCATATCTGGGCTAATTTATTATTTCTTTTTTGTAAGAGTCTTTTTTGTCTATGTCTTATACTCTGAGTAACTACTTTTAAGATTATGGAATACAGTATGTTAACTATTGTTATTCTCTTATTTTGTTATAAAATTTTATTTTTTCATAAAAAATAAATTTTAAAAAGTTCAACTTTCTTTCTGGATAAAAATGTTTAGCAGTATAAGTATAGAAGATTTTCTGCTAAGATCTAGAATAAAACAGAAATACCCATTCTCACCACTTCTGTTTAACACAGTATTGGAAGTACTAGTAACAGCAATTGGACAAGGGAGAGAAAAGAAAGAGAGCAAGAGAAAAACAGAATGAAAGAAATGAAAGAGCGTCACCAAATTAGAAAGAAGTAAAATTATCACTACTTATAGATGAGCTGATAGTGAAACACACACAAGCAGATGCTCACGCATGTACACACACGCATGCACACACACACACACACACACAGGCACATACATACTGCTCTAAGGATTGATGAATGAATTCAGTAAACTTGCAAGGCATAAAATCACCATTTAAAAGCCAGTAGCATTTCCCCTCCAACACACACAGTTTAGCTAAGAAAAGAAACCAAGGAAATAATCTTATTTATGAAAAGAAAAAGTGGCCAGGGGTTTAGCTCAGTGGTGCTGCCCCACCTAACTGACAAGCTCAAAGTCCTGAGTTTGATCCCCAGTACAAAAAAAAAAAAAAAAAAAAAAAAAAAAAGAAAGAAAGAAAGAAAAAAAAACAAACCACAACCAAAAACAGAAACAAAAACAAAAAAACAAAAAGAAATACTTGGGAAAAATTTAAGAAAGTGAAATGAAATGCCTATATAGTAAAAAACTATTAAAAATCAATGAAAGAAATTGAAGACACAAATAAATGAAAATATATTGGGTTGTACAAATTAAAACGGTTAAAATAACCATACTCCCCAAAGCAGTATACAAATTCAATGAAATCCTTATCACATTCTATTTGCATTCTTACAGAAATAGAGAAAACTACCCTAAAATTCATATGGAACATAAAAGAAACTTCCATATAGCCAAAGCAATACTGAAAAAGAAAAGTTGTCGTCAGCACACTTTCTGATTTAAAATTACTGGGCAAAGTTGTAGTAAAATCCAAACAGCATGGAACTGGCATAAAAATAGAAATGCAGACCAATGGAACAGAATGGTGGGCCCAAAAACACATCCAAACAAATATAGTCAATTAACTTTCAAACAGACACAATAGAAAAGGGTGGTCTCTTCAATAAAGTGGCTGGAAAACTGACTCTCCATGTGCAAGAGAATGAAATTAAACTCTTCTAAAAAACCAATAAAAATGGACGTTTAGCCCTAAATGTAAAACCCCAAACCATAAAACTCTTAGAAAAGAACATAGGGAAAAAAATGTTGGAATCAGCCATGGCAATCAGCTGTGGTTGCTGAGATATTACATTAGAAGCCCAGGACTCAAAGGCAAAAATGAATATATGGACTACCGTAAACTTAAAAATTTCTGCATAATAAATAATCGATGAAATGAAAAGGCAACTTATGGTGTGGGTAAACTTAGCAAACCTCTTATCTGATAAGGGGCCAATAGCCAAAATTTGTAAAAAAAACCCAAATACCAAAAAATTTACAACTTAATAGCAAAAAAAAAAAAGAAAAAAAATCCAGTTTTAAAATGAGCAAAGGATCTGGACAGACATTTCTCCAGAGAAGACAAGACGCTGTCTCTCACACTGGCTTGGATGTCTGTCATCCCAGAGACCATGGAGACCGGGCGGCGAGGCGAGGCAGGCGCGGGAGGCCTCCCCACCGTGCTGCGTATGTGGGCAGACACAGCTGCTGTGGGAAGCATCGAGTCACTGGATAAATTAGGGCGAGCATGACCAGCGCCGCTCCTCCAGACACCTACCCCAAGGGGACGAAACTGCCTTCCAAAGGCTCCTGAACTCCTGCCTTCTAGCTATTCCCATCGCAGAGTTTGGAGCCACCTGGCATCATCCCTGCAGACGGAAGGACAGACACCACACACCGCCCAGCCCCGGAGGGGACCAGGTCCACCGCGTGTCCTGAGGAGCTAAGCAAACAGAGGCCAAACATTCACAGAAAAGAAACTCCACCAGGGAGGGAGCTGCTAGCGGAAAGGGGAGGATACAGGCACTGTAGTGAGATGGGAAAACCTAGGGACTGACCGCACAACAGAAACTAAAACAGCGTAGTAAAATTGTACTAGGGATTTCTGGTAAGTAGATCTTAGCTGTTTTTGTCAAAAAACCAACTATGTGAGATGACAAATACATTAATTTCGTTCACACAGGAATCATTTTTCCTCTATGTATCCCATGACATCAGGCTATAAACCTCAAACACAATGTTTATTTTTTGACAAAGAAATGGTTTTTTTACGAGCCTTGAGCAAATGTAGGTTTCTAAATCTCTTCACAAGTCCGTGGCTGCGCAGGTTGGCTGTATGTGCATCACACAGAGAAATGTGTAACCCCTTGCCCTTCCTAGCATTGCTCATGGGGCCATTTTGAAACACAATTTCATGTGTGTCACACGTGTCTCAGGGGTAACTACTTCGTTAATCGGGTCTGCAATTCACCTCCAGCCTCAAATCTTGTGGCTTTACAGGAAACTCTTGGTAAATCTCTTCCTATATGACCTACGTCTTCGAGATGTTATTTTCCTTTCTTTTTTACACCACACAGTAAAATACGACATGTACCTCCCAAGAACTTGGACCTATACTGAGAAAGGGAGCCCAGCCCGTTACCTGGGGTGGGGGAAGGAACAGCAGGAGTCCGTCCAGCTGCGCAGGAAAGGAGCTCCTTCTGCACTGCAGAACCCCGATTGGGCAGAGTTGCTATGGACACCAATCTCCCACAGACTGGAGTTTTAGGGAGCTGCTTCTGTTTGCTCCTGAGGAGGCCTGCAGACAGCCCGGAGCGCAGGCCAGCTGCACGTGAGAGCCCCTAACATGGAGCCTGTCTCCCCTGCATGGCTCACACCTGTGAGGTGTGGGCAGCGGTGGGCGGGAGGCCTGGGCCTGGCTTCCCAGCTCCCTGGGTGAAAGGAGTCTCCGCCCCAGGGAGGACTCCAGAGGTTCCAGGTCCAGATTCAAATCTTGGTGTTACTTTTCTTTCTGTGTGATCCAATTTCCTTCTGATTACTCAGCAGGGATTCTGCATGGCTGGCCCTCGGCTAACACAGTCCGGTGCTATTGAACTCTGAGAACAGGACCAGCAGTTTCTTGACAGGGTACTAAATCAGCTCCCAGATAGTTTTAATACCAGAACATAAACAAGCAACATGATGAAAAGCCGATATCAACATTTTTTTCCAAATCAATGTGAGACACAATTGAAAGTAATGAATTTTCATATTTTTATTAATGTCTGACAGGAGCTTTCTTTCTATCAGTAGGTGAACTACAGGTTTAAGGGACACAGGGTAAGCCTAGAGAACTGCTGAATGAAGAAAAGTATCTTATTTGTCTTACTAAGAAATTATTCAGTGCTAAAAATAACCCCAGAAATTATTCACCGCTGAGCCTGTGTACTTTTTTTCTGGTTTAATGTACTGTATAGGTGGTTCTTTTCTGTCTGTGTGACCTGTCTTTCTAGATCTTTTAGCAATAGTAAGTTCAGTCTTTGTTCTGAAGGTTGAAAACCTATCTTTGCCTGTGAACCTAAAGTCCAACTTTAAAACGGAGAAATTCTGTTTTTCATGTGTTTTGTTTTTATATATTTTTAAATCAAATATTCAAAAAGATTTATAACATAAAATTCAATGTGTTTGCAAGTCTTTCTGTTTTTTAAATGGTTACGCCAAAATTTTGACCACCTATCTATATAGTAAGTCAAACTGCAACTGGAAAACAATTAGCCTTTAACTATTTGAACTTGGTTTCCCTCTGCACTTTGATTTTTCTCTTCTGGAAAACTGGATCCAATAACCTTCGAAAAAAGAAAAAGATAAGAGGGTCTCTGGTAAGACTACAGGAGGTCCAAGATTGGGTTAGATTTGGATTTGGGGCTCAGTAGCAGGAAATTCAAATGCATTTTGCTCACATATAAAACAGGACCAAATAACAGCCATACTAAAGGCTGAGGTCTGAGAAAGCCCACAACGTCCCAGCAGTCTGCACACACACCACAGGTTGCTGTAAGTGTTAGGATCATGTTTTAAGGTCAAGGGAAACATAAAGCTGAGCACATGATCTAACCTAGTAATTTCCACACTGGCACTGGGAGGAGGCAGCGAGGGAGCTTGTCAGCGTCCTTCACCAGCGAGGTGGACTCTGCCAATGAAACTGGAGCTGTCAGAGCTTAAAAAGAGAATGCCATCAGGGCAAAGGCACCACATCCTGGCACCAAGTGCTCCTCATAGTTTCCACCGTCACTGGGTCCCCTTCCCTGCCCAGCCCTCCCTCTATTTAAGCCCCGGCTCTTCCGTGGGCTGCACTTACTTCAGCCAATGCCGGACTCAGTGGGACAGGCAGGGGACAGGCAGCATGGCACCCGGAGAGAAGGAAAGCGAGGAGAGGCTGGCCAAGAGGGCCCTGCGCAAGGTGCGCACGGCCACCCTGGTCATCAACCTGGCCCGCGGCTGGCAGCAGTGGGCCACTGAGAACAGCACCAGGCAGGCCAAGGAGCCCGCCGGCTGGGTGCCAGGAGGGACCCAGGACACCGCTCCCATTCCCAAGCCAGCCGTGAACCCCACTGCCTTCCAGGAAGCTCAGAGCACCGCCAAGTCCCAGTCCCCACAGCCAGGGGGCGATGAGAATGGATGCGGCCCGGAGGAAGCCACTGAAGCGTCGCGCATCAGGAGGAAGGAGGTGAGCAAGAGCGTCGTGAGCAAGGCCTACGAGAGAGGGGCCGACATCAGCGTCCTCAGCCACAGGTATGAGCAGCAGGGCGGCCCGCCGGGCCCCAAGCAGCCTGCGGATGCTCTGGACAAGCTGCTCCACAGCCGGGAGTCGCCGACTCGCAGGAGGAAGTGTGCCCGCCTGGTGTCGGAGCTGAGCAGGGGCTGGAAGGAGCTGGGGCAGGAGGTGCCCACGTGGAAGAGCGACAGCGTGGACACGGAGGACAGCGGCTACAGCGAGGCCGAGGAGAGGCTGGAGCCGGAGGCAGGTGCCACCAAGATCAAGCGGCCCTTGGGCTCTCAGTAAGTGGACGTGGCCTGCGCTCCAGGCTGGGTTACCAGGGGTCTGGGAGCAGGGGGCGGCTGAGAGCCCGGTGGGCCCAAGGCAGTGCCACCCCAGACCAGAGCCTGCAGTCCCTGCCGCCCCTCTCCAGGGTCCCCCAGGCACTTGGCATTGCTGGAGTGAGACTTTCTGGAGGTGGTGGGGTCACGGTCCCTGGGCCTCCGATTGTCTGTGTCCCTGTCTGGTAGTGAGGTGACGCCCCATGCCATGGGGGTCATGTTGACAATCACACTGTGAGGGCCTTCGTGAGTTGTACCTGGCCACCAGTCTCCGGCTGGGGCCAGGTGGCCAAGTCCTCCTCTATTGGTGGGTTTTTTTCATCACTGAAAATCTGACAGGTGCCTAAGATGGTGCCTAGAAGACACCCTAATAAGGGTGAGGTGGTCACAGCACCCCCAGCTCTACATGGGTGGGCAATGCTGTTTCTCAGTACAGGGTTGGACCACAGTTGGTGCTCGCTTGGGAGACAGTGCGAACTGGTGAACTGCACTGTGAACTTTCTCCTGGGGAACTTCAAGTCTCTCCTGGCGGGAGGCCCAGCCTCAAGGTCAAGGGATTTGGGTCCGGCCAAGACAAGGCGCCCCAAGCCTTTTGTGAAAATGTTTCCTGGCCTTGACCACCATGGCTGCAGGGGACAGGGCTTGCTCTCTCATGGGCACATGGCACTGCGGACTGAAAGGGCATCCAGCCACAGAACCTTGGGCCTTCAGCCCCGTCTCAGATGTAGAATTCAAGTTGTCAGTTCCTGTATGCTGTTTTCCCAGTTAACTCTGGCCCGGTTTTCTGCCTGTGGCTACAGAGGACAACAAAGCTTTGTGCAGCAGCGCATTCCCAGATGATTCCAGAGGGGCAGTGAAACACGGAGCAAGGCCAGGGCTTAGGGAAAAGCCTGGCAGGGAAGAAAGTTCGCCAGCAGGAGGTGTCAGTCCGCCTCCTCAGAAAGCAGTGTGAGGTCACCTGCTGTGGTGTGCACCTCCGTCTCCTGGCTGTGACAGCTGCTGGAGAGCGCCGGTTGTCACACTCCACCATCCTGGCAGGGCCTGAATCTGGGCCATACCTGAGGCCAGGCCTCCTGCCCAGGAGACTAGACACACCTTGGAGAGAATGCAGCAGTGCAGTCCTGCCTGTTCAGGGCTTCACTCAGTGAACGCGGTGGGCAGGCAGGCCCTCTACCCAGGTGCCTCAGCACCACAACACCTCCCACTGGGTGGCAGTGCTTACCTCCAGACACTCATGCGGGCAGGCAGGGAGGGCAGAGAGGAGGGATGCATCTAATAGACTGGAAATGTCCGAGTGGTCGGGAAGTCTGCTTTGGTTTTGCTTTTCTGACTATTCCAGGCTAACCTTGAACTCACAGTCTTCCTGCCTCAGCCTCCTGAGTGCTGGGATGACAGGCGTTGTACTACAACTGGCTGGCAGGAAAGTGCTTTAAAAACAACATTTGATCATTTTAAAATTAGGCCAGCGCCCTTATACTACTGGTGCACTTTGCAAAACTGGGTTTTGATAAACAAGGCTCACAGGGTACACAGACACTTGACAGAACTCAGTTCTCAGCCAGTCCTGCCTGAACCCCGCCACCTCCCAGCGCAGGCCACCACGTTAGCTGCGACGAGGGAAGTCAGTTCCCCAGTCGAGGGGCCTGCAGAGCAGGACTGCGGTACCACGCTGAGGTCGCGGCAGTAGCAGCCGAGAGCGTTACAAGGGCAGCGCAGGCTTCGGTCAGTGCCACCTGCTCGTCTGCACACCCTGCACCCCGGGGACAGCTGTACAGATGTCCTTGTTAAACCCCACACGCGGCTCTGTGGGGCTGAACAGCACAATGGATGTGCGGTGGCGGGAAACCTGGCTTTGGGAAATAACCAGTCTCGGAGGTCCTTGAAGAAGCGGATCCCCTCAGACACTTAGAGTAGTCCGGCTCCTAAAGGCCACTGACACAATCTGAACACACACACATTTGTATGAATTTCGCGTGAGGAAGTTAATTTCTCCTCAACAGTTTCCAGTTCAGTTTATTACAGAGAAAACCCTCTAGAGCACACGTGCACTCTGGCGGGCACGCGTTTCCTCCTTCCCTCCCCAGCCTGCAGGACGCTCACTCACACATCTACAGGAGACGCCACTTTCCAGGGCCGCGCTGTCCTGACCCTCTGCCCTCTCCCCCGCAGGGCCAGCAGGTATGCGGAGCAGCTCAGCTGCAAGGCCCACCGGAAGCTCAGCCAGGTGGGCAGCCTGACGGGCAGGTGGCAGCAGTGGGCAGACGAGCACATCCAGACCCAGAAGCTCAACCCCTTCAGCGAGGGGTTCGACTATGAGCTGGCCATGTCCAGGCGCCTGCACAGAGGGGACGAGGGCTACGGCCGGCCCAGGGCGGGCACGAAGACGGCAGAGAGGGCCCAGCGTGCCGAGCAACACATCCACCGCGAGATCCTGGAGCTGTGCCTGGTCATCCGCACCATGGCGCGCCACAGACGGGATGGCAGGGTGCAGGTCAGCTTTGGAGAGCTCTTCGACAGATACGTCCGCATCTCGGACAAGGTCGTGGGCATCCTGCTGCGTGCCAGGAAGCACGGCCTGGTGCACTTCGAGGGGGAAATGCTGTGGCAGGGCCGCGACGACCACGTGGTCATCACCCTGCTGGAGTGAGCCCTCACCAAGTCAGACGCGGCCCACCCCTGTCCTACCATTCAACACCAGCTTAGTAAAAGCTAAAACGCAAGTTGGTCAGTGACAAGTTAGCAATATTGAACAATCTTTACATAAATGAACTTTGCCCTGTTTCTGAAGAAGCTTGAAGACAAAGCATAGAACATTTCAGAAAGCACTCAGAATGTTATTACTTATTACAAGAGTGTTAATATTTAAAACCCCACCTACCTTTCTAGAGAAAAATATTTGGCTATCCACTGAAAAAATTACTACAGATTTTAATATTAGTTAGAAGAATGCTGACTTCCGATAAAGACTGCAAAACATGTCATTTTTTTATGAAAAAAAGATTCCATTAATTTGGTTAAACTACAATTTCAAAGAAGTTGGACCTGAATTACTTCGTTTTTTTTTTGTTGTTTTCTGAGGCAGGGTCTCATTACATAGTTGAGACTGACCTGGAACTCACTATGTAGCCCAGGCCCGTCTCAAACTCACAGCGATCCTCCTGCCTCAGCCTCACGAGTGCTGGGATTACAGGTGTGCACCACCATGCCTGGCATCCTGTATTACTTCTTAAATCGTAGCATCTCTTATAAAAGTTCCATCTTCAGTGAGAGGCTGAAGCTGCTGTGCTTCCTCTGTGGGCCGGGACTCCCCAGCTTCCTGCTCCCGCGGGAGGGAGCGAAGCCCTGAAAACAGGCCCCACTGTGGCCTCAGGACCAGGAAGGCCGTCACTTTCACAGCGGGCCTGGGCTCCCAGCCTCCCGGGGACTTCTCGGACCAGTGTGTTCCTCCTCAGTCTTAATGAATCACGCTTTTTACATTTATGTTAAGGCACAACAACAAAAAAAAGACAGTGAAAGAATCATCAAGTCATTGAATTAAGAAACAGTTTAAGACATTTTAATTTTCTTTTGTATTTTAACACAGAAAATTTTGTCTAAAAGTCATGAAGAAGTATTAGCCCTGCCGAGGCATTAAAAAAAAAAGGTACAGTGAACATGAAGGCAGGGAGCCACCTAATTCACGTAACCTGTTGTTAGTTTCTCCTTGACTAGATTCAATGGCCTTATATAATCCTAAAAACAAAGTGGATAAAATGTGCGATACAACTCTTACCATACTCAGTGAAGGTTATAACACATTATTATACTATTCTGGCGATAAATACAAGAAAAAAGATCAAATTATTATATCTCAAAATATTTTCATAATTGTTAGGTTTAAAATAAAACAAACTACCTTAAGCCATTATCTTTTCATGTATGATTTGCTTTCAAATTGAAAGTTCCATTTTCTCAAAGAAGAAAGTGTTCATTTTTGTTTCCATAGATTCATAAAATTGTAAACTAATGGCAAATATTTCTCAGAATTATAGAAGTGAAACCTGTCATTTTTTAAAAGGTGTAATAAATGATGCTCGTATTTTCTATATTTTTATACTAATTTTAGATTATATTCTACAATACCACTCATGTTTGAAATACAACAAAATATACAGTATAACCTAGGTTTCTCCTAGAATCGATAGACTATTTGGACCAACCCTTCAAGAGGTCTCTCACATCCAACTATAAGCGCTAACTTTATGTAGCCATTGACAGAGATTACTCACTCAGGCGATTTGAGTTTGAGCACGGAGTAAAAGTCCCCTTCTCAGGTAGCTGAGACATACAAACACTTCTGAATCAGGCCTGGCTGTGATCTCAGGATACTGGGCTCTGGAGGGGACAGAGTTGGTATCACCAGCAGCCCGTCACGAGGTGGGTGTCACTTAAGAGCTGTTCCTGCGACACGGGAAGGGCTCATGAGCTGCCATTTGTACGTTATTATGCTGAATATGTAAGACCATTTGATCTGTTTCTTGATCTGGAACCCAAAAAATACTCTCTCCTAAATCAAATTATTCTTCTTCTAGAAACTATGACAGGGAAATTCACAGCTGAAAAACTGAGGACCTTTTGATAAACAGTAGTACAACTCAGCAAGTAAGCTTTAATGGAAATTTTATTATCAAATACAAAATAATTATTTTATAACTATTAATTCCTAGTAATAGGTAGTATACAATTGAGCTCCCAATTTGTATGGTTTTCCTGTACCAAACTTTCAGATGTATCCTGTACTTTCTGCAGTGATGTTTTAAGAGATTAAAGATTTCCTAAGTTTTCTTCATAAACAGGTATTGAATGTAATTTTTTTTCCATCTATACATTTTTTTGGTACCGGGATTAAAGTCAGGTCCTTGTGCTTGTGAGGCAGGCGGTGGAACCACTGAGCTAAATCCCTGGCCCCAGATACTATTTTTTTAATGTGGTAAAGAGCACCATGTTAAAAATGTTATGTACTCTAGTTCCTAGAATTTGGCTATGAAGCATTTTATATATTGCCAAATTTCACTTTTAGAATTTTGCAGTTCTGTTGATTGTTCCTTAATTTTCTATTTCTATGAATATTTTAATATTTTGGCATTAAGGTCACGCTAGCCTCAAATGGCATTTTCAGAAGTGTTCTTTCCTCACTGCTCTGGAAGAATTCATTTAAAACAAATAGTATTACCTTAAAAAATCTAGAAAAAATTACCCAGTGGAACAACCTGGACCTGAGATGTGTGTGTGTGTGTGTGTGTGTGTGTGTGTGTGTGTGTGGAAAGGCCATCCCCCCCCCAACTGAAAGATTCAAATTCTGTAATATAAAAATGTAATGTTTCTCCATGTTCCCTCCACTGGCAAGCTAAATGACAGAGTCCAAATGCCCTGTATCTCAAGGCCTGCAGTGATTCCTTGCACTCATAATGGCCACTTACTGCACTGCCCCGTGAACTACAGTATCACTGAAAATTGGACTGTCCGGACTGTGTTGTGTATTTACATTTAAACTTGACTTCTACTCATATCTTTATTTTGTCCCACATTCTGCGGGTTTAGGTTCAATTTGTTTTAACTTCTTGAGATGGAAGCGTGCAGTCTTTGCTTCTGCCTGTCCCTTAGCGTTAGGATACCATAAACATCAACCTCAGACCCCTGTCTGTAACCTGGACTGTGATCTGTGAGGCATCTCATCCCTAGGTACAGCCTCAGGTCGACTTGTACGCAGTTAACTATTACAGCATTCTATCTTTCAGAGTGGGATACTGAATCGGTGCTCCAACACCTTGAATCACACTGGAGCGTCCATGACTAGTCATTCCGCTGCCCTGCCAGTCTCTCTGGCCATCTGCAGCTTGTGGGCCAACTCCCAAGTGCTGTCCTTAGCTCCCTGTCTGACCTGAGCACCATCCAGCTCATAAATCTTCCAAACCCACGTGTCCTTCCTCACACTTTTCTCTCCTTACGACAGGTTCCTATCCTGCTTATCTCCAGTCTTGCCTTCTGTGAATCTATCTTTCAGAGATGCTCCCTCAGTGCAAACTCCACCGTGTCTCTGCTCCACTCTGATGGGCTTCCTTGTTCCTGTGGGATAAACACCTCTCTTGGCAATGCATACACAGGGCTTGTCATATACTCAGCCACACGGAAAGCACACTTCAGGTATTAACTGCTGTGCTCTGCCATGTGCCAAGGGCCCTCTTCCTATTTCTGAAAACCAGTGTCCTCTAGCTCAGCACAGCCTTTGTCACTATGACCACTCACCTACACACTGTGGGCTAGAAGCACTGGTTCAAACAGACGACAGTGTTTAATACATGAAAAGGACTTGACTATTAAATAAATCCAAACTCAAGACTGTATTTATGTATTTAATTTTATTTGGTATACACCAGTATGACCTTACTGTATTGAAATCCATTATGGGATTTTTAAAATTTTATTGTATGATTAGTCAACTCCACAAAGACAATAATACTGCTGTGGAAGACCAAAGGGAGAAAACCTGCTATGTCTATGTACAATTCCCTATGCTGAGGACATGTAATCTATACACTGCTGTTAACTCACAACGAGAGCTGAGGAAAGGATGCCCTGTGCTTCCATCCACACTCACCCATAGCATCTTACAGCAGACAGAGGTCTGCTTCTCATTAGGGGATTGTTACCACCTCACCAAATATCAGTAAGTGTTTCTCAACTGAACTACGGAAGCCAACACACTTGGCTTATAATTTCATTTTTAGAATAAAGTGCTATAAGCAACCTGCAATCAAGACTTTCTGTAAGAACAAAACTACTTTGAACATTAATTTACAAGATATACAATGTTTATCTGGAATTGCTGAAATCTCAGCACAAAGTCACTGTCACATGAATAACAGCAGGGTTTTTTGTGTTTTTTTGCATAACATGAAGCTCTGAAATTTAACTGACGAATTATTGCCACAATGGCTTATTACTGGTTTCCTACAAAAGAGGGTAAGAACTACTAGTGTATTCTATCTTTTCATTTTTTTGAGGTCACTTGACAGTGAGTTTGCATATTCACCATGTCTACTGAGCTACAATGTTGTCTACTACAATCACTGCCCTTCATTAGAGCAAATGCTAATGAAAGTAACATGTACCACTAAAAAACAAAAACGAAAAAAAAAAACACTTTTGTCATTTTGAACAGAAAAAAGCCTATATTTTAGGGGCTGGTGTGCAACAAGGCTAAAACAAACTACGAAACAGGATACTGACACAGAAAGTTGAGAAATACGCAGAGGGTGCATCCTTGTGTGGTCTGTGTACTTATGATAATGCCCTATGAAGCTATAAATATGTAAATACTAGAATTTCTTGCTTAATATATTAAATCCAATAGAATCTCCTTTGTCAATTTGAGCTCTTTATCTGAGAAGCCAGTGATGAAAGCATATGCCCAAACCTGCAAATCATGTGCACTGCTGTACTCTTTGACAATCAGAGTTCTCCTCAAATTCCATTTTCTTAACATGAAATTGAGAGGACTTGCAAAATTAATAAAGAGAATGTCATAGTGTGGATCAAAACTAGAACCCAGTGGTCTATGAAGTGCATGCTCTTCAGCATGTGGTTTCTCCTTCATAAGAGGTGCGCGGGTCCCCACGTGACCCATGCCACCTCACTTGGAGGAAGAGCCCGCATTGCACTGTTCTAGTAAAACAAACAATGGAGTTTTAAAAACTGGGATCAACAGAAGAGCACCATCCTATTAGAAGACTGAGAAAACATGGATTGAAAACAAAGTGGTCACTATGATCAAAATGCTGTCAAAATTCAGATGAAAAAGCTATCACACAATGTGGACCCAGCCATAGGCTAAACCTAAAGAACTCTGGGACAGGAACATGATTGGAAAAATAAACTACAAAATTATAGCTGTAGGAAATGGTGACAGACTAATTTTAAAGCACGAGTGATATGTTATGTTGTATTGCTTCTTGAACATTCCAAACAGTGCCTGTCCATGTCAGGTTTGGGCCATTATCCTGCTGAGACAGAAGCACTGTATTTATTCAAAAGCCCAGATTTCAATGTCTTGGATAAAGAAGTCTTCCTTTTTAGAAAGTGTATGATTCCCAAATGTTTTACAAGAATGGCTTCTTCCATGGTAGAGATCTCCATCAAGCCAAAGGGCAAATTCCCCTCTGTAACACATAAAAATAACAATCTCTTAACACTCTTCATACTGTAAAATAATTCAAAAGAGGCATTTCAGTATGCAACAGGACTAGAACCATTAATTTTTTCAAACTCTTCCTTCTCTTTCTTACCCTCACAAGCAATTTTCTTTTGTTCTTATCCTGTATAAAATGTACTCCCTGTACAGACCAAGGAGTGAGTCATTTAAAATTAAATTTATACAGAATTAGCTTTTGAGACAAGTGACACTCTGTTATTCCCTACTTGGCTTTATAAGTTTCTTTTGTCATATGGTTTTAATATAATTAACATGATTTCTTTAAGGTATAAACCTCTCTATATGTCATCTAAAAGTACAATTAATGTTAAAAGTATGGTGAATAAAGTTTATACTATTTTGAAATATCTGGAAAGAGAAATTTTACTGTTAAAAATGATTAGTATAAGCAACTAGAGTTTGTTTTCCCCAAGATGCTAAACTGTTTGAAAATAATTTTGCTTTTCTGAATAAGAAGTAGTTTAATAAAAGAGATCAGTTTGAAAGGCTTCAAATGGATAAAGACATAATAATGAGATTCTTTAACAGAGGGACAGAACGCAGGTGTAACAGGCACTTAATGAAAGCTAGATAATAAGGTCCAACTTATCTAACTGAAATGCAAACCTACAGAGAAAATACAACTGCTCTGCACCCTATGGGGAACTTCTCCCAGCCTACAAGAGGCAAGTGGACAGAGTGCTCATTCACACAGCATCCAGAGATATTCCTGGCTCTAAACTTCATCTCAGATATCAGAGGAGAGGAAGACTTTTAAAAATATGACTAGTTACATTTCAGTGAAAAGAACCATACATCTATGTGGCAGGCAGCAGAGGAAAGTTTAGGCTGTGAGGAGCTTGTCAAGGTCTCTTGTGTAGTGTGATGCCGCTGGAACCCGAAGCAGGTCATGTGACCGCACAGTCCACGGGAAGCCTGCCAGGTCACAATCTCATTTTGGGGAATGCTTGAGGGTGCCCCTGCCCCACCAAGGTCCATGCGCTAGAAGTGTGGTGCACAGTGCAGCTATGTTGAGAGGGGTAGAACATGTAAGAGGAAAGGCTGGAGGAAGCAGTTTCCTCCCTATGCACGGCATTACCCCAGAAGGCTCAGCGGTTCCCATGGGAACCTGAATGATTCCTGTAAAAGCATCTGTTCGAGCAAGCCTGGCACCTGAGTCCCTGGGATGCCTGTCTTGCCAGGCAATCTCTGCTGCACAAGACTGTTTCCCTTTCTATTTCTCTGCTATGTTGTGATGCAGCTGCAGGGGTCTCTCATCAAAGCCCAAACAGATGGGCTGCCCAGTCTCAGGCTTGCAGCCCACAGATCTGTGAGCTAAATAAAACCGTTGTCTTTGTAAGTACCCGACTTCAGGTCTTTGGCTCTAGCAACAGAAGATGGATTAAGACATAAGGTTCCTGCTTAGCATTCCAGAGCATTCAGTTCCTATGGTTTCTATTTTCTAAATCTATACTTTTTCCCAAAAGATAGGTATTTGTCTTCTTATCAAATGATCCAGTGGTTACTTTAGCTTGGAGGAATCATGTTATAAAATCAAAATCCAGTTTCAGTGGACATCAGCTTCAAATCATATCATGACTGTGAGGCTTTCCCGGAGAACTGTAAGAATCACATGAAAGAATACCACTTAGGGGAGAGCTAAATGATACTCTCTCCCTGACAACAGAAGTGTGATTGGGCCACATTAACCATATATGTTGAGTCCAAAAACCAAAAATTAACCCAGAAAGCTAGTATAATCACTGTTTTTTAATCACTGTGATTGTGTCTTCAAAACACCTATTTATAAGGAAGTTGTGAAGAAAATTTGTTAGAATCACCTAGGATGATAAGTATTCTCATAGACCAACAAGATTCTGTGGCCTGAAAAAAATTATAATTATAGATCCTTAATTGCAGGCTATAGTACCATAACACACTTACAATCCTGAAGACCATTCAGCGTCCCTGTGCCCCACAGCAACAAGGAAGGAGCTGGTGTCCTAAGCCCTGTCAGAAGCTGAGTCTGTCCTAGAGCAGCACAGGCTGCCTCTCAACACCACAGAAACCAAACAAAAAAGAAATCAAGTTGCTCCAAGTGCTTGGGTTGCCAAGAGTCCACTGGATTGATCCGTACTGCTCAAACAGACCAAAATCCTGATAATTCAGGGGTCACAAAAAGTTTTTGCAAGAAAACAAATCTCTACTATTGTTTAAAATATTAATCTAAATGGCTTCCAGAGGAAACTAATAGTAACACTCTTGCATTTGTTCTACACATTGAGAAAAATGACATGCTACCATGTTTATGTGAAAATTTTAGAAGTTCAAAGGAAGCACAGCAGTTTCCTTTCCAATATCAAAGAGCTACTATACTCTAAAGTAAAAGATGGGCTATAATTTAAAGGTTATGAACTAAATAGCATTTTAAAATGAAACAAATACTTTACCATGTTTCAAATACTATACTTGGTTATCGTCTTATAAATATACTTTCTTTGCCATGACCTACAAGTTTGGATTCTAATGTCAGGGTTTTCCAAAGACAACTGCTTTTATAAATAATTCCAATGCATTCTTAACGTCTGTTCAAAAAAGATTAGCAAATGAAAATATATTCTTTTAAGATAATACACAATGTATTCACCAATTATTATTCTCTAATTATTTTTGTTACAAAAATTTTTTTCATAGAATGGCATTTATATTTTCTTTATTAATATCTACTTGTATTACATTAAAATAATTTTTTAAATCTCATGGTGAAATGCTCAAGAGACTTACCCTCCACCACCAAAAGCTAATGAATCCATGTCCCCTTTGATAAAAAACATATTATCTCCCGTCCACTTAAAGACCTATATGAATAGGAAAACAAAGCTTTACATGTACAGATGACAATGCTCACTATGCAGCTAGTTCTCCAAAATCCAAGAATTAGGGAAGTCTACACTAAGTAACACCAAAAGCTTAGCAGAGCAGGGTCCCAGCGCTCTGGGTTTCGGTGTCTGTGTGACTAACCCTGAAAGCACACCCTGTCCTGCAGGGTTACTCGTCCCGCTTCCTCAAATCTCGTTAGCTCTTCAGACACACTTCTCTCTTCTGACGTTAGCTGAACATTAAATATACATGTACAGTACTCGGAAACAGGGCCAAGGTCTTTTCTACAGGTATGGATTTGGTATTCATCACTCTTACATTAATCATAATTATGATGTATATTTATATTTCCAGTTTCAATTTCTCTGAAGAAAAGTAAAAAGTTTAAAACATTTGAGAAATCTGAGAATAAAACTAGCCTTTACTATTCTTAAATATTTTTTCTAATCTTTTGTGTATTTTACGTAAACCTAATACATAGCAATATGTAGAACTTCAGCTTTACCATGGTTTTCAAAAGTATTCATTATAGCTTTCAATAAATCCTCCTCTTAACATTGGTATTTTCACACTAAATGTCATTTAATGAACATTATTACAGTTATGAGGTAACGACTTCCCAACAAGGTCTGGGAATAAGCAGAGAGGCTCAGGAAGTCTGCAGCAATGAGGAGCTCTCGGGTGTATCCGCTGCTGTGTATTACAGAGGGAAGGGAAAACACTGATGAACATGGACAGCCAGGTAAGCACCGGTGTTTTAAGACAACTTCCGCTGTGTTAGCAGAGCCTTCCCATTTTGTTCACAGACACTACTGGTAAAGAACACACACTCTTATTTTTTTAACTGACAATATTAGTCCATTTCCCAGGATTAAAATATAATTTCAGCTCTTAGGGAAAATCTGACATTTAAACCTAAATGACCATGAACCAAAGCGCGTGTTTTCTTCGCTATGCTCTCTTTATATAAACAGATACACGACAGTGTTCCTTACCTCAAACTCCGGACAGAACGTGAATACAAAGGTCTCTCCTGTCCCATAAAAACCATCACTCACTTTGAATGGCTCTGATGCTAATGCGCCAAAGACCTAGCGATTACAGAGATGTTCAAGAACATGGATATTAATTTGTTTCATTAAGCATTACCCTTATTATTCATGCTTAAATAAAATGCAAAAAATGGAAATCTGGAATAATTTTATGTACCTGTACGTAAAAAGAGAAAAATGATATATCATTCACATTCTTATCACATGCAAAGCACATCAGCTCTTTAATAAGGAAAAGTAAGATGTCTCCTAACTTTGAAATCTAAAAACATATTATTAACAGTTAAATAGACAATTTAAAAAGTGAATACATTTCCGGAGGACTTACATGGGCGATATACATATAATATAGAAAACATGCTGTCATAGAGCTCAGGAAAGCAAAAATCCTTCACTCCAGGTAAATGTTCTAAGATGAAAATACAGGCTACTGTTCTCTGCATCATTAGAAAACCTCCCAGAAGCAGGCTCTGGTTTGGGCTATCGATCATTCAGCCTTGGCCATGTACGGCACACAATACACAGCCTGGTATCAGAAGCGATGACCATGGGAGGCAGTGGGATGTGTTGCTTCTGTGCCTGGGCCCTCAACTCCACATCACAGCAGACACTGGCAGCAGGTAATTTTTCTCCTCACAGTCTTTCTTTACACTTCTAATTTTTAAAAGATGTTCTGACTGAAACATTAATCCATATGTAAGGGCAAGTCCATGAAATGCAAAAACAGTCTCTTTGGAATCGTCACAAAGCCAGACTGACACGAGAATAGGTGAGGCTGAGAAGCTCCCCGTGCCTCTTCTGAGCAGCAGCCCACCTCCCAGGGAGGAGACTGACACTACACAGATGCAGCCTGCCACTCATGGACAGTCTTTGAGTGGAATCGTGGGGTCTTCCTCTCCACAGGGTGATTTTAATTTAGTACCCTGCATGTGACCCTCCTCTATACCACGGCTGTAGCAGGAATGCACTGTACCAGAGCCTTCTCCTGAGCGCATAACCTTGGGCAAGTTAACCACAAACAGGGAGGACTGTGTTCACCTCCGCAGGCACTGGTGATCAAACAGGGTGACGTGGCGCGCTGAGCAGCCAGATGGCACACACCAGACACTACAGCTACAGTAGACCAGCACTCCGTCTTAGTAACACTGCCGTTTCACTTCCTCACTCCTCTCCAGTGCTAGAGACACACTAATATTTTTCTCTTCTGTGATTCTGTCCTTCCTACTATCAAACAATCCATTTTTAAAACAGTACTGGGAATTGAGCCCAGGGCCTTTTTACTGAGTTACATAGCTCAAAACTTTTTAGTTTTTACTTTGAGACAGACTCTTACTAAGTTGCTAAGTTGTCCAGGCTGGGTTTGAATCTGCCACCCTCCCAAGTAGGCCTCCCAGAGTCTGGGACACAGGCCTGTGCCACCACGGCCAACCGCAATTACCTTTATCTATCAAAACTCTATCCAGTCTTCATGACTGCCAGTCCCTGCCCTTCCTATGAACTCAATGATAAGAATGACTCTTAAAACCCCGCTTTCACGTTTTCTGGACTCTTACTATGCATAGTACATTTTGCTTAGCAACAAGGTATTAATTAGATGTTCTTTTCTACCACACTAAAATCTCTGTGAAGACAAAACTCTGTTATTCATATTTATATTACTCATATTTATCTTCTATTAGATTAAGCAGTAACTTGCATCCTAAAATTAATTACCACTTACACAATACAAAGTGCTGTTGAAGTAATTTTTCTCAGAGAAAGATGCTAAGTTATTGTCATGGTGACCCCTGATGACAGGGCCCCTGCACAGTCAGTGTTCCTACCTGGCCGTCACTGTCTTTGATCACAAGAAGCACTGGGGTGTCCAGACCAGTCATTGTCCGGTAAAGGGTCTTCAGGCTGGTGCCATGTTTGCCTGTCCCATACACCAGAGTCCACGGGTAGCCAATGGTTCTTGGTGGAAGATGCTTGGTGAGCTTAGGGGAAAAAAATGCCAGCTTTTACTAGATAGCCTATTATCAGACAGGTGTTGGAACTTAATTTTTCTTAGAAAACGTAGGCTACAAAAAGAAAAACCAGTAGTTTATCATTTTCAAAGATCCTGAGATACTTAAAAATTAATCATGTATTTTTCGGCATGAAATATTAGCTGTCCACTAGGGAAAGAATCATGAAGAAGGAGAGGTAAGAAAAACAGATTACTTTTGCTTGGTTCCTCTGTATTGAACTATCAAAAATATTGGATGGGCTGCTCCCTGATTAATGAAACACTTCTCAGATAATGGGCTCTAGATCCAGATAATCAGAGTCAGAAGTCAGGCTTCAGTAATTTCATCTATCTCAACAATTTCTTCCCTTATAAAAATCTGCATACCGCCAACACCCAACTCCTACAGCTGCGGTCAGGACCACGTGAGATAAAACACAGGGAACAACAGTGTAGAGGGACGGAATGAGCATGGGCCATGACTCAGGCTGTCCTGGGCTGCTGTGGGTCCCTCCTCCTCATTCACTTATGCCCAGCAGCCCCGAGAACAGCACACACCCATTACGCATGCTCACAGATGGTCGTACCTTCTCAATCTGGTCTGGCAGCAGGAGCTCACTGGGGTCACTGAGGTTAGGTCGGAAAGATTCAGACTCTAGCTCTGCTCTCGTGGGAGCAGCCTGCTTTGAACTGATGTCTTCCCTGGTGGTGATCTGAGAAGGAAACAGGAGCAGTGCGTTACTACACCACTGATAAGATCTCCAGTGTTTCAGTCTTTTGCATAAGTAAACTTTATACCTCAGAACAAGTGGCTGAAGCTTTAGCTGAGGGTTTCAGCAGGCTAAGATGCCCATCTGCTATCAGAGGTGTGTCCAATACATACAAAAACCTTCAGACACTTTTCTCATCCACTATATGAGGAAGAACCAGTAATGAATTTACTGGTCACCAGAGTTTATCTGGACTAAAGAGCCTTGTCCCATATTTCTGTTTAATGCGAAACAGTTCCATGCAAACTTTAGCCCTTGAAACACAAAAGTGAGCAGCTAGCTGGTTTTTAATTAAGTGCTACTTAAAATATGTAGGATTATTTTTTTCATACTGAACTCAACATTTATCAAAAGCAAGTATGAAAACTTCCTGGGAATCAAAACTTTAAAGAACAGTATAAAAAGCATGTCATTTTCTTCTCTTTGGTGTGTATGTCTACACTTATTTGCTTCACTGAAAAAGTTCCCATTTTGAAAAATGCCTTCAGTTTTTAACTTTTCAAACATCGCATTTTTTCTACTTGAAACAATAAATTTTGAAGTTAATTTGTTCACAATTTTTAAATAATTAGATCAATCTCCTGCTTTGTTATATTCTTAAAGTGATGTTAGCCTAAATGTTAAAAATGTTGACTAATTTAAAAACTATACAGTCTATTCTCTTAACACTTACATTTTGTATTAATTTTAATACATAAACATTAGAAAATAAAGGATATGAAATATAACTATTATTGATGAAACCTTTAAGTTGGAAAACACAGAATTCTGTGGAGCAGATCACTAAAATGCAGCAGAGCCTGGCCGCTGACTCCACACGGGAATAGAACTGCTTGGGTTACTCTGTCCTCTAGGGTATGTCTTCGCCAGATCTGCATAATGCCTGTCTTCAACAAATACATGCTATAAAACTGCACAGCATATGATGAGAAGCTAAATGTGAATCCTTTCACATCATCAATGATGTGAAAATTTAAAGAAAATGAAAAAGAAATCCAAGGCAGCATTAAAAGAAAAGAAAAATACCCAGTAGGTCTAGCAAAGCCATGAAAACATACCTTATTTACTAAGATGCTGGAGACACACAGCTGATAATGCAAACATTGAAAAATGAGTTTTCAATTGCATACCTTGTTTTTTTAAAAAAATAATGAAGATTATTTCATACAATTTTAAATAATTTATCTTGTTCTGGTGCCTAATGTATACTACTCCAGAGTATTTCTAATACCAATTAAGAACAAAAAGAATTTGTTCCCTTATGATATGTGATGTGGAGTTATACAACTGAAATAGTCTTAAAGAGAAAAAAACTTTAAGCCTTGCTGCCCATTAAATTAAAAAAAAACTGTCCCATAAACCTACATTTTAAGATTCTGTTTCATGGTAAATCTCAAATCTAAGACATTTTTCCAGTGTAAAACTTAAATGAAAACTCATCGCTCAAGGAAACACACAGCGCTGAGAATAGTTCTGAAGTGAGAGAAAATTATTCTGAACATTATTTCAAATGAAAAGATGACAGAAAAGATAATCCTACAGCTCTCCAAAGCAATACTGCATTCTTCAATACCAAAAGAATTTTGTGATGGGTTACTTTAGTGCTGCAGTCAAAACAAATCCATCAAATGTGAGATCTGCCCTGACAAAGGACACTAAAGCCAGGGAGTACTTAATCCCCAGAGTGGGGGAACTATGGAGGGCACCTGGAGACGTCTGCAGAGAGTGCGCAGTTCTTCAGTATTTAGAGCATCGATCCTGCGGTGATACTCAGCCACTGACACTACCTGAATGTGGAGACAGGAAGACAATAATTCCACTGACAGTTGAGAAAAATATCCCAAAACAAAGAAAGACAGAGCGGGCAGGGAAAGAGGGAGGGAGAGAAAAGAGAGCAAAGAGAAAAGTAAAAAGGAGAAATTCAAACAGAAAAAAAGAATTGTAATCAGGTTCTTTTCCCACTCCATGCTGAAAAGTCAAGAGATTTATCTATCAAACTAGAGAAAAACACACAAGAATGAGTTTCACCACTACATTCAACAAACTGGAAACAAAGGATTTATTTTATGGACTACTTCATAGAGACTGGACTTGACAGATACTGTAGTTTTTACATAGCAAACACTACTAAATCATAACATGCTTTACTAACATCAAAGAGAACATCTGAAAATCTACTAGTCTTGCAGTTCACAGAGAAAGTGGTGGTTTTAACTATCTCTTCAAATCAACTGAGCTCAAATATTACACCCTAATGGTCTTGTAGGAAGAATTTCTTCTAGGCATAGGTGACGAATATGCTCATCTGTATCAGAGAGAAGGGAAAAGAGGCAAGCAAAAGATAAGAAGTACACTGAAAACCAAGGCAATAAAAAAATTAAGCTTAACAAAGTTGAAATTTAAATTTCCAAAAAGCATGTCTAATCCACAACACCTTCTCAGACATGTCTTACTCTTTTATGTATTTTTCTAGTTTTTGCTTTTTTGTTATTTGTGACCAAGGCTTAACAACTTTGCTAAAGCCTAATTTCCTAAGGGAATACTCTATCTTCCTTAAGTGCCTGGATCATGCTCCTGCTTGGTGCTGAATTTGAAAGCACATATGACAGATCTGTAAATACAGAAAAATCCACACAAACAAAAACCCATGAGTTTCTTCAGGTTAACAAAACAGTTATGATGACATAATAACAAAACTGTTTCCAGAATACAGTGAACTAATGGCCTCCTAAACAAGTGCTGGTTCCCTCAGCCATGGCTCCTCCCGTGATGGATTAGAACAGCATGTGGCGGCTGCAGCCTCAACATGCAGGGAGATCAGCTAAGCCAGAGATTTAGACTCCTAAGGCAGGTTTTAAGAGGTTCTTGTGCTAGCCAACTATGCATAGCTTGTTGAAAGCTATAAACACAACAGAAGAAAGGAAGACAACCAGGACAGATTTCTACTCTGGCCACTGGTACAATACTGACTCAAGTGAGCAACAAGGCATCCAACCTGGAACTGCATCTGGACTCACTGCCCGGTCCATGGACTACACCCTCCAGCACAGGGGGTCTGCATGGACAGAGGTCACAGTAATGTATGCCAGAGTAACTGAGTGTTAAGTGAGGAGATAGCTGAGTGCAGTGCCCAGAATTCTAATAAGAACAACTGTTGTTAACATATTTTTACCTGATCACCTTTTACCAATTACCCTAAGGATTAAAGAACAGTGGCTGAAGAGCCCCTTTATTTATTTTTGGCATTAAAATATTATGGGTTTGAGACTAATTTATATATTTTGAATAGTTGATCTCAAAAATATTTCAGCATTAGTTAAAAATAATAAAGATCTTTCAGTTAAAAACAGAAATTTCAATAAAGAATTAACAGGTACCAGAAATGAAAACTAATAGCCACGCTTTTCTTTGGCCAGAAAAAGAAGTCTCTATAAAATATTTCATGGCCAATTATATATATATTTTTTCATGGTATTCCTTGGACAAGAACTCTCAAACCATGACTTACTTATTCCTCTGCATGCTTCCAGTTAACCCCATTGTGTTAGGTGTTTATGAGCCATATTATATTCTTTGGATGGAAGGAAACAGCCATGTTCACAGTTACAGTCTAGGTATCACCAGGTGTAGCAATTAATGAAGAACACGAACGGCCATCCTGAATCTAAGCTCACACCGTGGTAAAGCACAAATGCCACAAATCCACCTTCCTATTTATATTTTTAAATTGTAATTTTCCTAGGGCTTAAAAAATTACTCCCCCTCAGACCCTAACGTTTACTCATGTCTTGATGAGTGAATATACAGAAAATTGTCATAAGAAAGTTTGAATTAAAGAGGAAAACGAATATAAAAATATACTTCCACCTTTCAAAAATGGGTATAAAGAGGTGTAGATTTCTAGATTATGTAAGAGAACTTGAATGGTCTTACATTAAAAGTTGTACACTTGATAAATCACAGAATTTGTCACTGTGCCTCAAAGATTATGTCTAGTAGCAAACAGACACATTTCCTTAGACGGTCCTACCTCGCACACCAAATAACTAGGGTACACACTGAGGACACAGACCTTCCACCAAGGAGCACAGTCACTACCTTCCCCCAGTGCTGCTGGGTGGTAACGGCAACTATGTCAAGACTGCAGAGCCAAGTGCTACCCTCCAGTCTCCCCAGTCTTTGACAGAGGACCCTCACACGTGGTGACTACTTTCCGAAGTATTTCTACAGAAGCACAGAATTGTCATGTAGGATTAAATTCCCCCATCTCTGTTACACATGGCCAGGCAATGGCAATCCAACAAGGAAAGAAAATCCGCAGCTGCTGGAAGTCCTACCAACATGAACACGTTCACCGAGGAGAATGGTGCTTGTGCTCTCCTGGCCCACGTCCTCCTTATGGATGCTCCAGCAGGTCCCTATGACACGACCCCAAGCAAACCGAACGCCCATTCCCTGCTTCCTCCACTTGGGAACCAAGGAGCCAGCTTGTACACTCTCTTAGTAAAACATGTGGTAGGAAGAGAATGCTATCTAACCATCGTTATGTAGACTGTGGCATTTCAAACATATGTTAAAGAAGGAGGAACTACAAGTCTCAGCTACTGTGACTAACACAATGGGCCTACAGCAGCATGCCCTGGGTCACACGAGCTTTCACTTCGTCATACAGAGCAGTCTTTATTACAAAGTAAGACCTGGGTTGCAATAAACCTTCACTCCATTTTACCTAAAGTTATTTTGTTTTTAAAATAACCCTATGTGGAACTACAATAAAAGAGACATAAAAAGAAAAAACAAAAACTCATAAATTAGATAATTGAAAAACAGAATTGTTAGTGTAACAAAAAATTAAATGCAGAATGAATTAAAATAGAACACATTAGTATAGTTTTGATTTGAACAAATCTTCTGCATTTAAACATCATTTCCTAATAAAATATATTTGCAGATGAGAAAGACTTTCATGAGAAAGCAGACCTAGTCACTGTTCTTTTAGTCAAAGAGAAACCTATTCTTAGTCAGAACCACCGAGTTACAATATTTATACACTGTATTAGCTTCCTGAATAAAAACTTTTTAGAGAGTCTCATAAAACAGTAATAATCTTGTGCACTCCAAGCTTATCAGGGGAGAACAGTCACTACACAATCTTGAATTCCTCAGTGTTCTGTATAATCTGAGGAACAGAATATAGTTTTGAAAGGGTTTATTCTCGACATTTAATTCTTTTGGATCCATATGTCTTTTGATAAATGAATATAAATTTGTAAACCCGAGTTAATGGGGTTTTTGTGAAACTTAGCTTTTCCATTAATTAAAATTTAAAAGGATAGTAGTATAGTTTAAAAATTAATATTCAATATGATTTTAAATTACTGACCCTTTTCATTCAGTTTATTCTTTCACTTTTATCTTTGATTTCAACAAATATTTTAATGCATCTAACTTATATCTCACCATTGAAAAAAATAAAAGGAGAAACCTGACACCAACCTCAAGTCCCTTGTGAGCAAGTGACTCCAAAAGATGATTAACAGACACAGCACAGTCTGTGAGGAATACACAATCCTGGGGGTGGTGCTCAGTTATTAAAAGTAAACAAATATGAGGACTTCTGCAAGGTAATTTAACTTCACAAAGCCCAACAAAAAGCAAAACACTGAACCAATTTAGGTGTTGAAAGCATCAGACACAAACCATGTGTGAAATGCTAAAAAAAAACCACCAAAACCCCAAAAACAATCAAGCAAGAAGATTAAAAATTGAAAAGCACAACTAGAAAATAACCAAAGAGAACTTTTATGGAATAGTAACTGTTGAAATATTTGTAAAAAATCAACAAATTAAAAAGCTGACAGGTGATTCAGCAAACTAGGAAACAAAGCTGAAATTAGCTACAATAATTACTGAGAACAAGGAGATGATAAAAAAAGAGAATGGGAGACTTGTAAATAATAAGATATACTCTACATCTGCTCTGATCAGAAAACTTTAAACTAATACTTGAGAATTTTCCAGAATTAAGACAAGAATCTATAGATTCTAGAAGGGCTCTGTGAATCCTGCAGAAGAAATACGTAAACAACACTCTGAGTAAACATCCTAGTACCGTACTTAAAGAGATATCCTTAATGGCAGTCAGTGAGTTAATTTCTGAATCCCAACTAAGCAGGAAGCAGGATTGCTCAGAGTCAGCACAAACCCTCCAAGAACAGCCTCTTTAATCCAGGCCCCAAACTGTCATTTCAGTGAACAGGAGCTGAGGACGGAGAATGGTCACAATGAAAGGTCACAAAACACTCAGTTCCCCGAGGACGAAATTAAATGGTCAATCTATAATTACTCATCAAAGCAAACTAGTTAACAAGATGTGAGAAATAACAATGCACCTGTCTCCCTCAGTAATCATAAGGAACTGAGCCCAGGATCCTGTACAGACACAAAATTCAGATGTTCAGGTTCCTTGGATAAAATGGTGTAATATTTGTGTAGAATCTATACACATCTCCTCATATACTTTATCATCTCTAAATTACTTGTAATATTTAGTACAATTATTGATGCTTAGTAAAAGCTACTGTATTGTTTGGGAATAGTGACAAAAATGTCGTACATAATCAGTACAGACCATTTTAAAATAATTATTTCATGTATTTATTAGAGTATGTGATACAAAAAAGTTGTATTTGTTTTGGGGAATTAATTCATATATATCGTATCTTGGTCCTTTTTTAATCCTTGCCTTGCCCACCCTATTCTATTCCCCTTTCCCAGATACCCTTCT